CCTAATAAACATGACCTATCATTCAAAAGGCCATGAGGCTTCCTCATCTATATTAACAGCCTGTTTGTTTCAATTTCAGGACTTCCCGTGTCTGTTTTGGAGTTTACGTGATATATTATTAGCTCTCATCTCTGCATCTTAATAGGTCAGCAACCCCAGTCCCAAAACAGCAAACTTCTAATTGAGCCAAGCCGTATCGTTTGTTCTCCCTTTATCATGAAGAAAACAGATTCACTAGCACTTCCACCTAAATGATTCTTATGGAGAATAATTACAATTCACAAGGTTCAAACTTCTGTGGTCGGGGGAGAGAGGCCAGAGAGCCAAACGGAAGTGATAGAAAGACCAGAAACGGGATTTCTGATTCTCATGCGACATTCCAATAATGAGGTAAAGAGTTGGAACTGAAATTGCCTATATTCTAAACCTAATTCAAGCACTGAATTCAGCTGTATATTTAGTCATCATAGTGTAAACATGTGATTAAACTTTTAGTGCTTATTAAATAATCATGCGATTTAGTGAAAGTGCAAAGATCACACTGTTGCATATAGATTGGTTACTATTTTTTTTTGACCAAAAAAAAAAAGGAAGAAAGATTAGTTACTATTTTGTTTGGAGTTGTAAAGAGTTCATGATCTCTGTTTCAATTTAATTTTTATTGCGCCAACTGTATATTTTTTTTTTCGCAGATCTGCATCAATGATCTATGCATATTGTGTCAACAACATGAGAATAAGAAGATAAAGTATTTTAGACTGGCAATCTCTATGAGTGTTACGGTGAGCTGACCTAACAAGCCAGTTTTAAAAATGGTTATTTACTTGACTTGCCGTTGCGACCTCGCCACTATCTTTGTCTAGCCTCAGTTATACCATAAACTTTCCCCAAAATCTTACCCACTTTTGATTGACTACTAACTTCTTAGATTGCGCAGATCTTCCCCTGATGGTCAAACGTCCCACATTATGGTAGAGGCGGAAAATATTTTCACTATGGTTGGTAATCCAACATCTCTTGATTTCTAGAGTTTGTTTCAGCAATTTTTTTTTTAGGTACGGACAAGCTAGAAGTTTTTCTAATTATGACGTCCAACAACAAACTTGCTAATCTTTCCAAACTGCTAGAATTTGAGTTTGTAGGAAAGTCAAACTCGAAATTATTTTTCTCCAAATAGTGGTCATTTTTGTTTCCAGCCTTTTTTGGTTTCAGCCATGTTTGAGTCAAGAGAACTGCTCTTATGTGAGACATTTCTTGATAAGGTATGTCTTAATAGACCTTTTATATTTTTCCTGTTCAAGTTTACCGTGGGTATATGATTACATGTATTTAACCAGCATCACAAGATGACTACATATCTGTATATAGACTCATGCACTCATTCAGTTATGTATCGGTGGCCCATATCAAACCAATGTTAAGGATGCATATTTTATGATTCATTTGTTCTTACTTCATAAAATAACATTTTTGTTTAGTAATGTTATAGCCTACACAAGAGAGAAATCATATGTTAGCCATTTCCAAATTCAATTAATCTAGCATGAGATTTGTTATTTTCACTTTCTTACATGTTTGCTATCATATCAAAAAATTAATGTAGGGAGCGGTGAGGATATGTTTATGAAAGAAAAGAAGACAAAAACTGAAATTAATATTAGGTATACACACTATCCATTTTAATGTTTAGTTGCACTTGATTAGCTTTCCAATGTTTGAAAGTAATATCTCATGTGTTATACTTTATCTCTAGATAGGCAGCTTGAGAGTACTTAACCACAAAATCATCAGTTATCTTTATGCTGTGATTCGCTAACCACAAAATCATTGCTGTGATTCGCTATTTAGAGAAACAATACAACTTTTCAGGCTAAGTTAGTCTGTACCAAATTTAGATTATAACTCATGTAGATTATCATTGAAGAGCTTAGAATTGTTGACATTCGTCCACTATGTATCGGCTTGATATATTTCACTTCAATGGCTCATCAAGTTGTGCATGTTTTAATTCTTCTCGCAAGGCAATTATCTTAGCTCTATGTCCTTCATTGTAATCACAGACATTTCCATTTCTAAATGAACATTAAAAA